TTATTCTATTGTATACCATTTATCATCTACTTCATTAATAATTATTCGCATCTTCTAGCTCCGAAGTTGAAGCCGGAAGAAGCTCGCGTGAACTGGAATTCATCTAGTCGGTGCATTGACCTTCAGTTTAGAGCCATTTCGTCAACTTATCCTATAGTGACACAATGGACGGGCTTGATCGGCGATATCAGACTCTTAGAATTGAAATTTATTGCGGAAGCGGAAATTTCGGTGGTTTCTCCCGTGCTGCAGAACCTTACACCCGGAAGCTTTCGTTATTTGAAGTCCGCTAAAGCAATAGGAGTGAGATGTAAAGAAGGCGCGATACTTATCTTGCGTCTTCAAATTCACGAGAAAAAGTCTATGTCAGCTGCTGATTTTTTCAATGGCTATTTGTCGAAATGTGAGGGTTCTAAATTTTTCTCTTCAGGCTCGAGCGATGCGATAGTTTCCAGAAATGCATGCAGCTCTTCGTGATAAAATTTTTAATACATTTTGTTGTGTACTGCTCTATGCACGTTGCACAATGGTGCGGAGAAGACCGAGATTAAATGATTTGAAGATATATGTGATTCAGACTTGGGGATTCGATTGTAGAGACTTTTTGTGTTCTTCGACCAACTGAGCATGCCATTCCAGAGTGCGTTTTCCGAAACAGTCTCCGGCCTCCTTGGCGTTCCTTCCGATAACCATTGTAAAATGACATGCTACTAAGTACACAGCCATCATGATCAAGCTCGTGGTGATGCGAAATTTATCCCAAGCTCTGGATAATGTGATTGCTGAGACGGTCAGAGGAATATCTTTCATGGATTTGTATTTGAGTTGCATCACTAGCATCATTTTCTCAAGCTTCGAGGGACGACGGTAATCCGTGATGCAGCCGACATGGTTGCGGAACTGGTGACACCTGCGCCGGACTGTGAATAGAATCCGCATCGACATCTTACGAAAGTGTATGAGGCAGTGGAGTTCTCTGATCGAGTGTGGCTTTGAAGGTTTTGATTGGTACGTTTAAGTCTACCCATGGAAATGTTGATGAGAATTTTCCGCTTGGAAGAGTAAGGTGAATAACTAATGTTCTCGTTTAAACCGTCGCCGTTATTGTGTTTAGGATCTTTATGTACAGTTTGTAGCAGACTGTGACTAAATTCCCCGTTGTAATCTGCGCTTCGTATGGTAAGCATGGATTACGGAGTTATGCATGACTTCATTAGACCAACGAAACGAAAGTATTTTGTGAAACGGGCATCGTTTTCTATGGTGTTTTCAGAGAAACCTTGGAAATATTTTGGCATCGTTTGAAAGCTCAGAAGTTTTCGACGCAAGGGGTTGAAAAAATAATAAAAATTTTGTAATGCTACGCTACCGCATTTGTCAGAATTGAATCGTGAATTGGGTACTAAACGAGTGGCATGTACATATTATAATAAATTCAATTAATCCCTGAATTCTGGGATCTTCCTTGGCAGGGTGAAAACCGTTCTCTTTTCGTTTCAGAGCGCCGAACTTTTCCTAGGTGTTAAGATTTTTATCTTCTCCCGTGTTTCATGATTTTAACGCTCATTCGGAACACGTTTCATGTTGTTTTCACGCGTTATGTTATTACATCATCATCCTAAATTGCCACGTATTTGTGTCTACTAGAGCGTGAATCACACTATCTCGTTTCCGAATGCTTCAGGTGGTACGAGTGTGAAGGTGCTGACGTTGATTGTGAAGTGGATGATCGCGTGCATCGCCTCATGGCTTTCAGAATGGTGCACAGTATGGTATAGCGTACATCTGAGTCAAGGTCTTTGTGATATCGCCGACAATGACTTCGCGATTTATGTATTTATCGTATAAAGATTGTGATTACCCGACTGGAACGTTATGTGAGGGACAGATCTTGCATCTCCACGTATTTACTAGTGAACCTTCAGAATTTACGCGCGTCTCAGGGATACTAATCCCAATGGGATTACAAAATTTTCAGTTCCCTCTTTTTTTTTTCCCCTTAAAAATACGCGTGTGTACGGTAATTTTCTTATTTGAAGTTTCTTTCAAAATTGTGTTTCGAGAATGGAATGATACTTGACTCGTGTGCATTTGCTGTTCACGGTAAGTGCGTCTTTGGCGAAAGATTCTTGATTTTTTCGTTGTCATTATGACTTTTATGAGTCGTTCGAGTCCCGCGACAGTGGTTTAATTGCAATCTTGACTCCGCTCGTTTTTACAATTATCATGTTCTTGTATATTTCTCTATCCATTGGTTGGGAGAGAAACAGTTTCGAAATGATACCGTCGCATGAACAGTGATAGCTTACGTAACAACGAGCCCCAGACACACCCACGTAAGAGTGATGTGACGAGGAAAGTGACTTTTACTTTTGGACAGTTTGTTTCGGGAAGTATTCTGTGGTTGAGATAACCTCAAGTTTATTGCGTGGTTGAAGATTTTGAGCGGATTTTTATCTGTATTGCTGTCGTCGAATAAAAGTACCTTGCGTGTGATACCGATATGAGTAATCTCATTGTTAAGTGGATTAGCTTTCTTTCTGCGATTTTTCTCATCATGCCCATTTTTCTTGGAATTTGTGCAGTATTTTATACGTTATTGTTACCGCTTGATATTTTCAAAATGCTCCGAAGTGTATTGCGTGGGATTTCGTTCGCAACCTCGAAACCATCAAGATGTCTCTTCTTATCCTTGAGGTTAGTTTCGAGTTGAATTTGTTTCTTTCTTCGAAATGAATTTCGTTTCTCTTCCCTCAGGTCCACTCATTATGATATCACCCGTAAACCCACTTCCCAAGCCGATAACATGATGGACATCGGAACACGACCGATTTTTACAGCTGATCAGGATATTTTCCGTCAGTCAGTGCGGAAGTGGTTTCAAGAAGAAGCTCTGCCGCATTTGGAAAAGTGTGGCATTGATGTCTGTTTCTTGGAAATCCGGAAATAAATTTTTTCTCTTATGTTTCTCTCTAGACATGAAAAGCAAGGAGATGTTGGGCGCGAGTTATGGCAGAAAGCTGGTGAGCAGGGCTTTCTGGGAATCAATGTGCCTGAGGATTGTGGAGGAATGGGTGGTTCTTACTTGGATAGCTGCATCGTCTCTGAGGAACAGTGGGTCGTTTAAACCTTTTCTACGATATGAATCAAACGGTGCTAGACTCGGAAAGTGTAAAAATCTGCAGGATTTTCTAATCGTGAATTATGTTAGAAAGAAAAACGTATCTTTGGTCTGATTCTCGTTGGTCGTGAAGCGCGTCAATTCTGTCGCCTTAATTTGTTGGGACTCGAAAACCCAATACTTGAACAAATGAGTGAAACCGCA